CGATGAGGAGGGCGATGACGTTCCTGCCGTGCTCCGGGGACTTGGCGCGGCTAGGGACGGCACCGCGGGGCATCCAGCACCTGTCCGAGTGGCCCAGGATGCGGCACTCCTCCCTGCAATGAAATCCTTCGCTCTGATCTGCGTGGAGAAAACACAAGGGATGGTGAAAGGGGGGAGCCCCGTCGGGGGTATCCGTCGCCCCCCGGCTTGCCGTCGCCAAGCCAGGCGCTGCCCCATCACTCCCACCCAAGCAGCGGCTATCCTTCCCCAAACAGCTATCGTTTTTAAAGCCAGACTCGGAAGAGGGATTTTTACTGCCATTTCTCTGCTGCTCTAAAGACCGGAGTTCAATTTCCAACAGGTTGTGTGTCATCTGCCGCCACCAGACCTGCAACCTGGGGAAAGAAGTTACGGCTGCGAATCCATCACAGCGGGTCTGTCCCACGTGTCGAGCCGCTCAGAGTCAGCAGTTCCTGGGTTTAGTCACCAGCACTAAAAGCCACCATGTTTTAAGCTGGATTTGACATGACATTTAAGCTTGATTTTCTGCAGAGGGGGGAATGGAGTGGAGGGAGGAGGGGGTTTTCTTTTTTTTTTTTTTGGTGTATATATGTGTTTTAACTTTTTGCTTAATCCCCACTGACCTCCCGCACAACAGAGGTTTTATAAATCTCCAAGACTGCCCACTTCACTGAAGATTAAACGTGTCATTCTCAGCACTGGGGCTTTATTCATACAAGAGCAATAAAGATCCCTTCTCTCAACTTGGGGCTGTCCCAACATCACTTTACAGGGCTGAAATATGGAGTGGTGGTTTAACCCTTTCCAAGGACCTTCCACGTCCAGGTCTGAGAGCTCCTAGGCAGGTGCAAACCCTTGTGCCTGATGCTTGCCTGCATCCCCCCGCTGCCGGTCGATCCCAAGGGACTGCACGGCCTCACCTCCTCATCGCGGACGGACAAACTGGGGCCCAGGGAAGCAGCCAGGCTCAGCCAAGTGCCAAGCTGGAAATCAAATCCAGGAGCTTCAATATCCCCAGTCTTTGCTGAGCATCCGACCAT